CGGCTTCTTGCCTAACTCAGAAATATATTTTATTTACTCTGCACTTATGACCCCCATGCCGGCGTTGGCTGTCGCCGATCGGGTTAAGTGAATCCGATATGGACTCTGCTCCGCGTGCATTTGTTGCTGTTGCCGTTGCATTTGCATCTCGAAAGCGAGGCTGTTGTCTCTGTTGTCTGTTTGCCGGCGGCTACTCAGAATGTCAAGCAATGTCTCTCTCCCTCTCTCTCTCTCTCTCTCTCTCCCTCTCTCTCTCTTTACCCCCTCCCCCCTTTTGACCATAGCCACCGCTTCACAGTCAAGCTGCAGCTGCGCAATGCTTTAACTGTGTGCACTGATGGATTGTGTCCCTGGCCCCATATGTGTATCTACTTAGGCAGTAGCAAAATCATCTGATGTGCACACGGGCACAGTGGTTCACCGGCTATTTGAATCATTCAAAAAAAAAAAGATCTAAGAAAATTAGCTTGACACCGACTGGACGAAGAACACATAAATATGTAGTACTTGCAGGAAATTTTACTTAACTTAAACTCGCCCAATATATTCCACGCAGGGGAACGGATTTGCGGAAAGAAAGAAATTTTCATAAAGATTCTGGGAAATTAAATTGAGCCCCGAACTGTGCTCATCTTTTGCACCCATTTTCCACCACGAAGGTGTGGATGTGGCGAAATATCTGAAAACTGAATTTTCACATATATCTTAAAAAATAAATTTGGTTCAGACTGTTAGATAAACATAAACAAATACTATGCAACCCTTTTCTTCACCAATCAGTCAGTGATTAAGTCTTCGTTAAAAATGCCCATATTGAGCTTGTGCACAATAGATATTGACCCACTGTGCGCGGCCAAGTCGTTGGAGTTGACACCGATTCAATGACAACAAATGTGTATAGTATGTTAGTTGCAGATGCAGATACACACAGCTGCACACGTATCTATGCATGTGTGTGTGTGTGTGTGTGTGTGCGAGTGTATCTTCTTTTGCGCTGTGCGCTGCCTTGTCGCCGATCTTTAATTGCAGAATTGTGTTGCCGACCCATAGATGAGGATGAATGTGCGTTGTGACTCGGCGAAGCGGCCATCTACCCATCTACCCATACGCCTCCGTGTCCGTTGCGATCTTGGTGATTAATTGACGCTGGTGTCGCGTGAGTTGCGCGGGTTTATTAAAAGGATTACAAGACGTGAATGTGCGACGTCCGATGGACCCGCAATTCCATAAATGCCAGCTAGACTCTGGCGTCGGGGCGGGTATGTGGGCAACTGCAGTCGTAATAAGATTAATTACGAACGCCTCTCCCAAGACCCAACACACACACACACACACACACGCTGCGGAACAATGTTGTGACATGACAATTACAAACTGAAGTCTTTCATTGTGTTTTCAAGTGTATCATTAATTTAAAAGCTTTAAGATCTTTCCATAAACTTCAAATACTTTGCGAGCTATCCCCAGAGACCTTTACTGTAATCCTTGCTTGACATTTGCATATTTAGTTTTTGTATCCTGTTGACACGCGAGCCCACGGGAGAAGGACCAGGGCCCGAGTAGCAGGATAAGTGTCATCAGGGGCGCAAATAATTGACATTTAACAGAGGGTCGGACTCGGCAGCGTTCCGCCAATTAGTAAAGTGTCATTAAGGGTCGCTTAACCATATTTAAATGTGCCATACTTACATGTGTGTGTTCGTGTGTATGCGTGTGTCTCTTCCATAGCTATTCCCGATATTATGAGGCATGTATGATGCATGGGACTGTTAAGCGTCTTGTTGCACAGCGTTTCCGTCCGATTTGATATTCCTTGTCAACGCGAAAATGGGATCCGCAAATGTTTCGTATAAATATGCGATTTGTTTTACTTGCGATGGCTGAATTTTTGCCAATGATGATGTCATCCCCAAGGCAACCGAGCAAACAAGCACTGCTGCACAAAAGCATCCCATAAATCACGGCCCGATCGCGGAGTTTATGCTCATGCACAAGTCTGACAGCTGGAGACACGGCTGCGGCTGCGGCGGCGGCTGCACGCCAAGCAGCAGACAGCGAAGTGGAGCAGCTGCCAGAGATTAGTCAGTCTTAGTGACTGCCGGCACTGGCGCACTTTAATTCTCTCGGGGCAAGCCGCTCAACTGGTTTGCGCGCCTGCAAAGGGGAGCAGCAGTTGCGAGGAGCTGCTCCGCGAAACGTGCACAAAGATCAAGGTGAATTCGTTGTGCTAGCCAATGTATAACTAATATATTGTTTAAAACCGTATAATGCCAATCGAATTGAATCACATAACTATCGCAAGTGTGGACATTCGTTGGAAATTAGAGTCAATGCAAAGGATCTGTGGAGATTTGGCAACACAGAAATTGGCACATTTTAAGTTTTTTGTCTTTAATAAGTTTGGTTACACTAATTTGCAACTTTACAATACTACAAAAAGTATGTACCGTTTCTTTTAGCTCGATTTCTGTAGCCTTCGGCATCTATGCAAATTAATTTTTATATATTTGGTGTATGCTAAATAAAGTAACTATTACTTAGATCGAAATATTTAACTTGTGTTAGTGTAACTATATGAATAAATGAAATACAATATAAAGAAGATTCATCAACAAGCCCTTGGGCAAATGAGCATCATCTTACGCAATGCAAGTTTAACGGTTCCCAGCTTAGAGGTCACTCACAGAACAAAACTTTATTCCATCAAAAAAGAAAAGAACACGACGCCACAATGAAACCGCAAAATTTATGAAACACTAAAAACGAAGAGGTCTTAACCCACTCATGCTTTCTCAGACTCATTCGCATTCTCACATGGTTACCGCTTCTCCGCTCCGCTCAGCTCAGCTAAACGAACCGCAGCCGCGATTGTTCGTGTTTAAGACAAAAGATCTTGATTTTCAGCAGTTGCTGGCACTGCAATTTCCATGTTGAGCTCAGCCCAGAATTGGCAAAGGTTAAGAAAGCGAAGTGCAGCAAAACAGCAGCTAGCACCAACAAGAAACGCACAACAATAAAAAATAATAAAAATGGGAAACTTTCGAACTGGTAACAGGAAACGCAGCGTTGGCAATGGTCGTAACAGTGGCTCCAGCCTACCGATTCTCAGCAATTCGACGGAATTTCCTGTAAGTGTGCATGAAGAATAGTTGCTTATGTGTGAACTGAAAGAGATTTTGCCTAGTTTTAAGTTTTGCCTAAAACCTGTTCTCTATAGTTAGACTGCGATCGCTAGCTGCCCATTATAAACTGATAATCATTACTTAGTAACACGTTAGCAGCTAATTTGACTAAATGTAAACCATCTGAACCATGTGCACTCACCCGTTCCATGTGCAAGATTAATGTAGTTTGCTGGCTCCAAGCGAAAGGCCAGCCAGAGCTTTATGATTGCTATGCGTGTGCTGTCCACAGATACATATAGACATACATACATAGGTAGATACATGCCGCATGACTCACGGTCACGCTTAAGAAAGGTAAAAAGGCATAAGAGAAAAGACCCAAGTGACTAAGTGCACATTCATGGCTTTTAAAATGGGCCCCCGAAGAGCCCAAAAACTGTTGGCTTAACTGTGAGCGTGACTGGATTCCGAATATTGTCGCTTATTGTTGACTGTTATGTGATCGCCGACTCTTTGGCATCAATAATCCGCGCGCACAAGTGCTGAAAAGCTTTGTGTGACATCTTATAGCTTAGCATATCTGCGCGATTGGCTCGCTTTCTTCTCGGCACAGCTGCCACTGCTTTAGGTATCACTTCTCACTAGGCATTTATTCGTTTACATTCATTTGTAAGCTACACAATTGCCGGCTTCCCTTCGGTACATTAATAACTAAAAACACGAAAGAGCTTATAGCCATGTTCAGCGATTGGCTCTTTACTTCTTTTCCGCGGTCCAGTTTTTGGGACGTTCGGCCATAATAGTGTAATCGTTCTTGGCAATATTCACGCCACCATACTGATGCGTGGGCGGGTCAGGCAAGAATTCCCAGCCCTGTTCAATGGACATCTTCTTGATGACACCGGCAATGCCTAGCAGTAAATTAAAACGTTTAGCCACAATTGTTATATCGAGTCTATATCGATTTACCCAGGAATAGACCAGCACACAGGCCTGCTACATGATTGTGCTTCCATGCGCCAAAGACGCCGCCAGCAGCAAAGCCTCCAATCAGGTAGTTAATTCTGCAAGTGATGGCATTTGTATAAATCAGAATTGGAAAGCTCAAACCGGTTAACACTCACTTATCATCCTTGCCGCGGGCGTTTGTGGCAGCGAGCGTAGTTAGCGTAAATGCTGTAGCCATGCCCATCAGCGGGCCCGTGTTGTAGGCAAACCTTCCGAGAGTGGGTATGTAGCCCTGTGGCTTGGTGAGGGTTAACACGTCGAATGTGGACCACGCCATACCGGCGACGAAGGCATATTTGTTTGTGGCCACAATTTTTCCGAAGGCATCTTCGCCATCAGGATGGTCGTAGTATTTGGAGCGTAAGATCGACATAGTTGCCTAGATGCCATAACAAAAAAAAAAAACATATGAATGCATGTAAATAATAATCACAGAAATATTCAAACTAATCTGTCTACCGCTCATTGGCCAGTGCGCTTTGGGCATTGCAGAATATTGTTAACATTTCCCTGGTCCATTATCATTTGATTAGACAATTAATGCAACGAGAAATGCTTTAATCTATCCATTAATTTACTAACCTGCCGAATTTACGTAATTATTCCCAAACGCAAAATAGTTTGACAAAAACAGCTGTTGACCAGTGTGTACCAACCACAGAAAAATACAACCATTAAAATACTTAAAAAATACTAGCAACATGCCATTTTGAGTTTAACATGCTGTTACGTTAAATGTAGCGGCTTTTCCTAACATTTTTCAAATTAATAAACTGTAATGTCTATTTTGAAAAATATCGTAAGCAATCTAGAAAAGCCAGAGGCTTGTATTGTATTTAGCCAAGTTAAAAAGAAAAGAAATCCAGGTTTTCTCAAATCATGATTAACATGTTATTTTTTACACGTATTCTTTTTATTCTAAATTCACAAACACTGTGGCACTAACATTAATTAATGTTTGATCATGAGGTGCAATCGAACATTATTGTATGGGTTCTATGTAGGATGTAATTTATTTGAAAAATTATCGTTTAAAATTAAAAATGATTCTTTTGATTTCAAATGTGAATACGTTAAGGTTCTTAAATCGATGATGGTAGACTAGTTTTTTGCCTTTCAACTAACAATATGCACGTAAAATTTTGCACTTTTAATAAGGAGGCATGGATATCCATTTAATGAATTTTTTTTTGGCATACATTTAGAAGTTCAGTTGACCGAACAGGTGCAGATACAAAGCAAAAACTATATGATTTCGAGAACAAAATCGATAAAACACACAATACATACATATATAGAAATACATACATACATATATGGGCATAATTATATACAAATCAAATGACAAATTACGAACAGGATCTATGTTTTTTTAATCAGTCGTAAAATTCGTGCTGAATCTGGTTAAATTCACTCAAATCTTCCAATTATGTGATGCCTGTTTTCAAATCAACTTGAAAATAGCAAGTTAGGCAAAACAATGCGATAGGGTTCGATGTTTGCATTATGATTGCCGTAACGTTATGCGACAAACATACATACGAATATATAGTTTGCATTTTATTGTTCGTCGTGTCCAATTATTTCAATATCATCAGCCAAGGGACTCTCGATTTCCTGTTTGTTTTCGCTACCATTCTGTTGATTTGCATCCAAATTAATTAATGATAACGTCATCTTGCTGCTGAGTATGACCTGCGATAAGATAGAAAATTCGTTGTACTCTTTGTGATTTAATTTATTTGTTTTATTTACTGCCGGCTCCTCAGATGATCCATTCAGCTCAGAATCGTAGACCTCTTCACGTTTCGTTTGGGAATCGGCCACCAAAATCTGTGAGTCGTGTGCCAATGCGCCCTCCAAGTAAATGGACTGCGGCTCGGGTAGATTTTCTTCCAATTTGGACTGAAATGAAAGCACACCAATTGTCAATTGTCAGTCATATGGAGCACACAATTTTCATAAGCACTAGATATTTGTTTATCAAAGTGTTTCGCTGCTTGGAAATTTCTTTGACTATGGCAGGATTCGCTTGAGCGTAATAAGGTGCAGCGGAGGCACTTACATGTTCACTATTTGCGCGGAAGACAGGCGTTGGAGGGCGTCCAGTCCATCTTTGACCGCCCTCGCAACTGGCTGTTACCTCCATGCCAAGAACCTGCACCCCATCCATGTATGTATACAATTTAATATACATATCATGCCAGTATATACAAAAACAATATAATAGTATAACTGTATAAATCCGATTTGCAATTAATATTTAATTTTACCGTCATTTCACGCTCTGCGCTGATGTCGCGTCGCTTCCTTTGCTGTTGCTGTTGTTTAGTGTTAGTCGCATCCTGTATACCCTGTGTTTTATTCTGCTCCTGATCGTTAGTTGTATGCCCATTGGAAATGTTCTGGTTTTCTACATTTGTCAAATTCGTTTTTTCGTTGTCGTCGTGATGCTGTTTAAAATTTATTTTCGGATCATTAATTTTGGCATAACATTGAAATATTGAAAGTTAACAAAAGAACTGAGCATTTTTAAAGTTGGTTGGCTCAACAAAAAAATAATAATAATAATAATTGAAATTATTTTTTGTAATTTACTAAATTAATTAGAACAATGAAACAATATTTACTTTTAATATTTACTTAATTGTTGTTAAGAAACGCAACGAAAAAAAGTGCATTAATTGGGGTTTCTCAGTTACTTGGCTGGTTAATAAACAAAACAAAAGAGTTAACAAACTTTCAACGATTGCTGCGGAGCGGCCCGTCGTCGACGCTAACCTTATTCAAATCAGATTCAGTTTCAGTTTCAGTTTCGCTCCTCGCCCCGTGCACGTCTCGACCGTTCAATTGCTCGTCGGCAGCGTCTATAAGACCTTGTATAGCCGTTACAACTACTCGATTTCATTTATATATATATATAGTGACATATCCATAGTCGCACCCACCCTTTAACATAACTTGGCGCATAAGCATAAGCACAATTATAAACATTTCTAATATTGTAAACAAAGAGCCTGGTGATAACATCGACATTGGTCAAGATCAAACTGTCCCCCTTTGGTAGACATAAACAATTCACCCTAAATATCACGCCACTGTCAATGTTCCCATCAGAGTACTATCCCACGCATAATTGCTGACGCAGCTCAAACTTCACTCAATTTTGACTCAAACTCTCTCAAAGCGAAGTTTGCTAAGCGACCGCAACAGTTAGATAAATCAGTTCATATTCGGGAAGCAAATCTGAATGTACTCAACAAAAGTAGCCGTTAAGTGAAAATAATAAATTGAAATATATTTTTTTATAGTAACCTAACGTGTAAAACTTAATTGGCGCAGCCGGTAGGATACGTCGGGAAAAAGTTAAGATCGCTAAAGGATAATTAATTCCCAGATCTAACGCACAATCGCGACCGAAAGTGTTGTCGGAGTGTAATAAAAATTTTCTCGAATACGTATCCGCACAAGAACCTTCGGGTCACTAGTAGCTTAATAATATTGACCCTTTGGGCAATAAAGCTACTACAGTTAATAACGACTGGATTTGCATATCGTTTGATCCCTGCAATACGTTATTACTGAGTCTTTTTAAGACACACACACAAAAAAAAAAAAAAAGAAACATTTAACCAATAATCCATCACAAACTTTAACCTAAAATAAAAGTGCAAAATCAAAGAACAATAAAGTTCAAACCTACAAACTCAAAACTATTCAAAAAAAAGTGTATTACACCAAGATGACAATGGAATTATCAGAACAACACCTCAACCAGGCCCTTTCACAACTTAGACAGGTGCCAAGCTTTGACGGATCAACGGATCAACTAAACGCCTTCATTAAAAGGATAGATTACATCCTACACCTGTATCCAACCCGAGATGTTAGACAACATAGCATCTTATACGGAGCCATCGAATTGCAAGTCACAGGAGATGCTCAGAGAATATCACAAAGGACAGCAGCCAACACTTGGCAGGAGCTGAGAAACGCATTAATTGAAGAATACAAAGTGCAGACACCATTTGAAGAACTCCTTCGACGCTTATACAACACGAATTACCAAGGAAACGTCCGTAAGTTCATCGAGGAGCTCGAGAATAAATCTTTTGTTATATTAAATAAGTTAGCACTAGAAAATATACCTAGCAATACAACCCTTTATACAAATGCTATGAATAACACAATCAAAGATGTTATTACAAAAAAATTACCAGATAGGCTTTTCATGATGTTAGCCAGACACGACATTACGTCGACACAAAAACTAAAGCAAGTAGCTCAAAGAGAGGGATTATATGAAAATAGCGTTACTGAAAAACCTAAAAATAATAATGTTCAGGGAAATCCAAATAACAATCGTAGGAACATGGGAAATTATCAGCAAAATGCTAACCCAACCACCATTTCAAGTGGCTATTCCAACACGAATCAGAGTTATCACGCACAAAATAAACAGCATAATAAGTCCGAAGACAATCAGAAAGCTCACCACGAGTTCCAACAGAAATTAAGTCAAGGTAGATACCAAAATCCCTTAAACTACCAAAATCAGTCCCATTCACGCTTGAATGCACCAAACCCTCCGACTAAACGTCAAAGAGATAGTAACAGTGGGCAGATGAAAATGGATACATCCGAAAATTTTCATCAGCAAGCCTCGGAACAAACAGAAGAAATCCATTCATAAAATTGATTATGAATGACGAAGTTCTAAAATGTGTCATCGACACAGGTTCAACCATTAATCTAATGAAAACTAACCGCTTAAATTTTCCAGTTTACAACGAAACATTAAAGGTTCACACCATAAATGGTGTTATTGAATTAAAACAAAGTATACGATTAGGAGCAAGCAAAATTTGTCCGAGCAAACAAAAATTCTATATTCACGACTTCTCAGAGCATTATGATGTTCTGATTGGGAGAGAATACCTTGAGGCATGTCAAGCAAAAATAGACTATGCACAAGGATCCGTAACCTTAGGAGAATTTAACTTTTGTTTTAGATATAACGACGAAGAGGTCGAAGAGGACATGACCGCACAAGAGTGCCTTGATCCACCCTCAACAGAGGACAGACCATTTAACTTCGCTATTAATAATGAATTAATAGAAAACAATGAGTTTAGGCTAGAGCACCTAAACTCAGAAGAAAAAGAAAAAATAAAAAAAGTTTTACATGAATTTCGTGATATCCAGTACCATGAAGGTGACAATTTGACTTTCACTAGTACAATTAAACACAAAATTCTAACAAAACATGAGGACCCAATTTACAAGCGTCCATACAAATATCCTCAAATATACGATGAGGAAGTAAATAAACAAATAAGCGATATGATAAAACAAAATATCATACGTAAATCCAAATCCCCTTACTGCTCACCAGTAATAATCGTTCCAAAGAAAAACGATGCATCTGGAAAGCAAAAGTTCCGGTTAGTCATAGATTACCGCAATCTCAATGAACTAACTATTAATGATAAATACCCTATCCCGATCATGGATGAAATATTAGACAAACTTGGAAAATGTCAATATTTCACAACCATTGATCTAGCCAAAGGCTTCCACCAAATCCAAATGGATCCTGGTTCAATACCCAAGACCGCATTTTCGACTAAACATGGCCATTACGAGTACACTCGCATGCCATTCGGTCTTAAGAATGCACCTGCAACGTTCCAACGTTGTATGAACAATCTCTTAGAAGATTTAATTTTTAAGGATTGTCTGGTCTACTTAGACGACATTATTATTTTTTCCACTTCATTGGAGGAACACATTTTGTCGCTACAAAAGGTATTTAAGAAGCTTAGAGAAGCTAACTTAAAACTACAGTTGGATAAATGCGAGTTTATGAGAAAAGAAACTGAATTTCTCGGTCACATCATCACAACTGAGGGTATAAAACCAAATCCCAACAAGATACAAGCAATTGTCAAATTCCCAATTCCAAAAACCCCAAAAGAAATTAAATCATTTCTAGGATTATGTGGTTTCTATAGGAAATTTATACCAAATTTCGCTAATATAGTAAAACCATTAACACTTAAATTAAAAAAGGGAGCAAAAATCAATATAAAAGACAGAGACTACGAACTAGCGTTTGAAAAGCTAAAAGTACTCATAACATCCGACCCAATTTTAATATACCCTAACTTCGAAAAACCATTTTCATTAACTACAGACGCGAGTAATATGGCAATAGGGGCCGTCCTTTCGCAAGAGCATAAGCCTATATGCTATGCAAGTAGAACTCTCAACGAGCATGAGTTAAATTATTCAACGATTGAAAAAGAATTATTAGCAATCGTTTGGGCCACTAAATACTTTAGGTCCTATCTCTTTGGTCGACAATTTCAAATCCTTAGTGATCACAGACCACTCGTCTGGTTAAATAATATGAAAGAACCTAACATGAAATTACAAAGGTGGAAGATCAAGCTAAATGAGTTTGATTTCCAAATTAAATACGTCCCAGGAAAAGAAAATTATGTGGCAGATGCTCTGTCCAGAATTCAATTAAACGAAAACTTCTTAGGCGAAGATACAATTAGCACAAGAGCAACAATACATAGTGCTCAAGAAGACAACAGTAACCATTTACAAATCACAGAAAGACCACTTAATTATTATAATCGACAAATAGAATTTGAAAAAGGAACCGAGAACGAAACAAAAGTTACGAATTACTTTCACAAAACCAACATAAAAATTACGTACAAAGACATGACTAATACGCATGCCAAAGAATTAATAAAAGAATACTTATGCACAAAGAAAAGTGTGCTATACTTCCACAACGAAGCAGATTTTCCAATTTTTCAAGAAGCCTACTTAGAAATAATAAGTCCGAATAATTCAACAAAGGCAATGAAAACTAGTACAAAATTAATAGACCTTCAAACATATGCAGAATTCAAAGAATTAATATTAAAAAAGCACAAAGAATTATTACATCCAGGAATTGAAAAAACTATCAATTGGTTCAAAGAAACCCACTATTTCCCAGATTATCAAAATTTAATTCAAAATCTAATAAATGAATGTGAGATTTGCAACATCGCAAAAACAGAACACAGAGATACAAAATTAACTTTCGAAATAACTCCGGAAATCGCTAATATCCGAGAAAAATATGTAATGGATTTTTACATAGTAGGAGATAAACAATTTTTATCTTGCATTGATATCTATTCAAAATTTGCATCATTAATAGAAATAAAAAGTAGAGACTGGCTAGAAACCAAACGAGCTATATTACAAGTGTTCAACCAAATGGGTAAACCCATCGAAATAAAGGCAGACAAAGACTCAGCTTTTATGTGCACAGCTTTACAATTATGGCTAAAATCAGAAGCAGTAAATATTAATATAACCACTAGTAAAAATGGTATATCCGACGTAGAACGATTTCATAAGACAGTTAACGAAAAACTAAGAATCATTAACAGCGACTCAGACGTCGAAAATAAACTTACAAAATTTGAAACTATACTCTACACGTACAATCATAAAACAAAGCACAAAACGACTAACAGAACACCAGCGGACATATTCATATATGCAGGTACACCAGAGTATGACACTCAAGCTAATAAAGAAAAACTAATAAATAATCTCAACAAAAAACGAACAAATTATGAAATTGACACTAGATACAAACACTCACCGTTAGTTAAATCAAAGACGACAACCCCGTTCAAGAAAACAGGAGAACTAAGACAAATCGACGACAAACATTTTGAGGAAACTAACAGAGGCAGGAAAATAACACATTACAAAACCAAATTCAAAAAGAAAAAGAAGACTAATCAAAGCAAATATAACAATTACAGGTCAACAACAGACAGCGATCAAAACATACAAGCACCAGCTTAAATTAATTATTATAATATTACTATCAATAACTGTAAACCATATAAATGCACAGAGTATTGAAATTAATCCTATCAAAGCCCATAACGGATATCTCATATTTAAAACAGGAACCATAGACATTCCGACAGATTACGAATTCCACTGTTTAACGGTTAATATAACAAAAACCGAAGAAACTTTTAACAATTTAATTGAACAAAGTAAAGAATTCAATAACCTTATACAAATCGAATACCTAGTAGAAAAATTAAACAGAGAAATAAACGGCTTAAAAATAGCCAAACGCAGCAAAAGAGGTTTAGTTAACATAGTAGGAACAGCATATAAATACTTATTTGGAACATTAGATCAAGAAGACAAAGCAGAAATTGAACAAAAAATAAGCAACTTAGCAGAAAACAGCGTTCAGGTTAACGAATTAAATTATATAATAGAAGCTATAAACAAAGGAATAGAAATCATGAACGAACTAGATCAAGAGAAACAAAAAGGAAAGAAATTAGATATCCTTATATTTAACTTACAACACTTTACAGAATATATAGAAGACATTGAGATGGGAATGCAGCTCACAAGATTAGGAATTTTTAACCCAAAATTACTAAAACATGACTATTTGTTGCATGTTAATTCTGAGAAATTGTTGAATACAAAAACTTCCACTTGGTTTAAATCAGATACAAACGAAATACTGATAATATCCCATATTCCTCGAGAAATAATAAAAAGCCCGGTATTCGAAATAATTCCATACCCGGATGAAAATAATAATATTTTGACAGAAATAGCTCATGAAAAATATTTTACCCAAGATAAAAAAGTTTATAGCAGAGAAACAAAAAAATTAATTAATAATGAATGTTTAACAGGAATTTTAAACCAAATAACATCAGAATGTAGTTATACTAAAATTTTGCAAAATTTTCAAATCAACTACATAGAACCAAATATAATTTTAACTTGGAATTTACCAAAAACTATATTAAACCATAATTGTATAAATAACGAAATAACAATAGAAGGAAACAATATAATAAAAATCTTTAATTGTTCATTGCAAATTAATGAAATTTCAATTTCAAACAATATGTTAGATTATACTCAAAGCATTTACGTAAGCAATGATGTTATAAAATTAGAACCACTTTCGTTTGTACAAACGAAACAAATTATAAATGCACATACAAAATTTAACAATGTATTCCAGATAATTACAATAACCATATTTGTAATCATATTAATAAGTTTAACACTGTATTTGACATATAAGTTCAAAAGCATACCTAAGAAATTAATTATAAAATATAAAAAACCCAAAGTAGAAGAAACACCTACAATAATAGGAGATATACCAATTGTAAAAGAAGAAAATGTTACACTATATCCAAACTTAAACACCTGAGGACAGGCACTTTTCTAATGGTTGGGGGAGTGACATATCCATAGTCGCACCCACCCTTTAACATAACTTGGCGCATAAGCATAAGCACAATTATAAACATTTCTAATATTGTAAACAAAGAGCCTGGTGATAACATCGACATTGGTCAAGATCAAACTGTCCCCCTTTGGTAGACATAAACAATTCACCCTAAATATCACGCCACTGTCAATGTTCCCATCAGAGTACTATCCCACGCATAATTGCTGACGCAGCTCAAACTTCACTCAATTTTGACTCAAACTCTCTCAAAGCGAAGTTTGCTAAGCGACCGCAACAGTTAGATAAATCAGTTCATATTCGGGAAGCAAATCTGAATGTACTCAACAAAAGTAGCCGTTAAGTGAAAATAATAAATTGAAATATATTTTTTTATAGTAACCTAACGTGTAAAACTTAATTATATATATATATTTTTTTTTGCGACAATATACAAGATGGCAGAGACATATATATATTTGTACATGTGTAACATGGAGACGAAGAAACGACAGAATGTAAGTAGATTTAATAAACATTTTGCATTGGCAATAGGCAATTGGCTTTGCTTTTGACTAAGGCTCAACTTTTCGATGTAAGTTCGTATGAATTGTGAATTGGCATGAGTATTGGCAAAAGGTAAACTATGAATCGAAAAGTATCTAAGCACATACATAAATATCATATGTTTGTATGTATGGTTAATTTCCAGTCTCTTTGTTTTGGTTTCTAAAATATGTCCCCATCATAAGTATTGATATAGTAATAGAGAGCTACAGACACAATTACGTATAAACATACATACTTAGTAGTGTTTAGTATTTGTGGATAGTTAGTTAGTATGGCTACAGTATCGCATGCCGATCGCAGACGAGCACAGTTAGAAAGAAAGACGGCAAATAGTTAAGTTAGAGTGCAACAAAGAATGACAGAGAGATGGGGGAAGAGAAATCAGTCCATATCGAGGCCCACACATGCAACAGGCGAAGCGTGAGCATAACAAGGAGAGAAACAGAGAGAAGGTCATAGATAAATGGGATACTGAGCGGGCCACAGAAGCAATATTATAAAGCCGCGCTCCCGCATGCAACTGAGGAGCTGACGGTTTACGAATCTGTGGCATTACACAAACAGAATGTCAAACTTTTCGAGAACTAGGATATAGTACATGTACGGGTATAGATAAAACTCGGTAATATCTAGAAATCAAAAGTAGAAACGAACTTATGACTTGTACTTAGTTTGGTCTATTTCTGTGATTTGGTATTATATATGCGGTAAATAAATGTTGGTTGCATTAGAAATTTGGCTGCCGCTTGAGAAACTTCATAGCAATCATCTTGAAAATGAGAATACAAAAATATAGCATATTAATAAATGAGATCAAACGCCGATGAAAACTGCACGCGTCAACTAAAAATGTATACATACAGATGTACGAATGTACATTAAATTTGTGCGAAAATCTAAATGGTTTCATATGGTTTAAATGGTTTAAGTGTGTCATGGACAATGGCGCTACCGTTTCCACGAGTTGACGTGAATGACAGCAGCGCACACTTGTGCATTGATGCGGCTAGCTACGTTTTGGTTGGATGCTAACCTTTGCCTCATACTGATCGGTGTTCATTTCGGCAATTAATTTTGCCATCTCTCGCTCCGTGTCCTCGAGTTTCTTGCGCAACTTTTCAATTTCCATTAATTGCTCCGTTTCCTTATTGAACAGCGACTTCTCCACCTCGGCCAGCGTCTTAGGGGCTATTGCCTGGCCGTGGCACTGTTGCTGGTGCGCCTTCAGCGTGCTGGACAAATTGGTGGCCATTTCCGTGGCCGACAAGGTGGCTTTGTAGAGCTCCTTGTCGTTGCGCCTGCCGTTCGCTGCGCTCGTCGCAGTTCCTAAAAAGTGTTCGTAGGATTTGCTTTAACTAACAATTATGTTGAGGCAAGGACAACGAAACAGCTAGCATAGTCATTTATATACAGCAACAAAAAAATAATTGTAATAGTAAACGATAAAAAGGTGAGAGAACGGAAACTGTATGAAATCGTATTTTATCACTAGGATATATATGACAAAAATTCTCTAACTACTTCAATGTGGTTTTTTGGTTTGGCTTGGTTATGGCTTGTGAATTAGTAGACACTTACATACATACATACAAACAAGTACAACATTTATATAAAAAAAAAAATCTATAAATTAAACAGAACACATCAAAGGCTTGAGCCCTCAATGCTGTTGGTTAGCTACACCAAATGAGGAGGACATATTTTAAAACTGAACCAGAGCGATCAGAGATCTCGCATCTTCTCACACAACATCGACTATTCATTGCGTACAAGGACTCAAAATAAAGACTTTTAAAAAACAAAATCTTTTCTAGCTTACTTGTCTGATGCTCGCGCCAACCTTTTCGCAAATGGCAATGCAGAAAATTCAAAAAACAGATGAACGCCTTTGGTTAGTAATTGATTATGAGTTAAGTACTTGTGCTAGTGTCTGTCTGTATAGGTGTGTGTGTGTGTGTGTGTGTTTATTGTTTATAAGGATGCAGTATGTGCAACTACAAGAAGTCGTTATAGTAGAACTAGAAGTCTCGATCATCATCTATATATATATATATATATATCAGCATGGAGCTCAACTCACCCAGTTTGGTGCCGCCCAAATCCTCCACCTGGCTGTGATTCTGTTGGCCAAAAACTTCTTGGCGGAAGCTTGGATCCGCTGGAACGGGCCCATACGGCGCATTTGGTACTTGCTTCTTAAATACAATCTAAAAAATGAGAGTGTAAGTATTTGGTTCAAGGAATTAGTAAAGCCAACTGTCTTCCACCTTCATAATCGTATAGCCGAAGAACACCACGATGCCAATGGTATAGAGCGGCATCAGGAAGCCCATGCTGCTGCCGGCTCGCTGCTGAGGCTGATGAAAGGCACCCGCTCCCATTGGCGGTCGCATGCCAGGTATGGGTCCAGGCTTAAAATAAAAATTAAATTTTAAGTTCTAAACGAGAATAATACCCTCTATATATAGAAAGACATTGGATTGAGGCAACTAATATAACAATAACAATATCCTCCACTCTTAATCTTATACCGCTTGTAGTTTCCTAATCTTTGCGTCGTCATAGGGAATATCCTATCATCATCTACATATAGAATGACCTCCTGAGATTAAGGCAACTAAATAGCAAGGGGCCGGCGGGTCTTAATCCCTGGCTAGTGTAAGAATGTAAGAATTGTCTTATAACAATATGCTCTACTATAAATATAAACAAATTACCTATTGGACGGGGATTATCTGATATTGGCTTTAGTATGTATATGTTAGAGAGATCGGAACCGCACACATTTCCACCTCCATATACCGTTTGTAGTTTCCTAGCACAACAAATGGATGCGCGGGCAGGTGGCGCATTAGATTTGGCACAAGTTCAATATGAACAATATATTTTTTGTATTATTTTTTTCTTTTTTTTTTTGCTCATTTCACTCTTCCTTTACGGTTTGCTTTTGTATATATTTTCTTTCGGCTGTCTTTTGCCTTCAATTTGCGTGCAGTGTCATAAAAACAAAACCCAAATCCAAATAAAATAAACGCATCTATTTATAGGACTGGCCCGATGTCTCATCCCCAGCGTCCCCAACGAAGCCCATGCGAATGAGACGACGCGTCACTTCGTCGTCAATGGAAAATGAGCTGCAAATCGAAGTCGGAACTCACCCGGCCGTCAACGATGCGGGGCGGTGGGTTACTCGGCGAACTCTTGCGCTCGACTATCGGAACGGTGGGCGTGGCTGGTATTGCGCGGCCCCGCTCACGCATCGCCTGATATATGGACTCCGGATGCAGGTGGGCTGGCCGTTCCTGACGCAGACCTGTGCGAAAAAAAAACATATTGCAAACAATTAAACGTGTACAGAGAGTTGGGAAAACAATCAACATGTTCGTAGATCGGTGAGTGAAGGGATTAAATATGTGATTATTTATCAGATAGATGCATAGAAAAGCCGTTAGATTGGTTAGATACTAATCAAGACAATCGTGCCGTTAGTCGAGCTGAAGATTAGTTAACGAGATGGAAGAACGCTTCACGGATTGCACCTACTTATTTCGCCCGTGTACAAGTTGATCTGCTTGCGATACAAATGAGGCCCGAACGGCTCGAGGCCCGGCTTTGAGGCGTTCATGAACTGCTCCCTGTCAAGCACGACATCACAACAACCTGGTCAGAGCAGGACAACACCAAAACACACACACGCACACGTACAATATTCAATAAATAAAGAAATTAATCAAATTAAAATAATACAATTCGATTTGATAATGTGAAGATCGAGACTCACCGCCAGGTGCGCCGCGCTGGGGCTGATCCTTAAAGCTTGGCTTGGGCGGCGCTCCGCCAAACATCATGGGATGGAATACTTTTGGCCATAATATGGCAATGCAGCCAACCACGGTCACAATCGCAATGATGCCCATTTTCTTGGGCGACATGCTCTCCTCCGTGGCTGAGCGATGCTTCTGCTTTAGCTTCGCCCCCGGCTGCTGCTGCTGCTGTTGCTGAGACGATGCTGTGGACATGTTGACGTGATCGCAGGCTTTCCTTTTAAAGCTCAAATCTTAAGGCAACTCTCCGTGTCTGCTCGTGCTCCAGTTGAGAATTCTTTGGTGTTTTACCTGATGCTCTTATTGTTGTGTTCGGCGTTCGAATATTTGAGGTTAACTTTGGCGTTGGCTCATTTTTGTTACGTTTATTAATGCAGTTTTCCTATTGATTCTGCTGCCTTGTTATTGCATTATCTGAAAAATACGCACATACAATTTTCAATCAAAATGCTTTCGCTTCGTATATAGACTATATGGGCACAAAGGTTCACATTGAAGCCATCTCTGCGCCTGCTCGCAATTATAGAGTATTTGAATTCTGTTGTTTTTGGGCACAACAAATTTTTATTACATAAATAGCAGTCCCGATTATTTTATTTTTAGCGCTCACACTTTTCAGTCGTTTCAATCTTTTTGGCTGTCTAATAATTCTTGCCGTGAACCATAAATATTGCATTCAAAACTGAGCACAACTTTACGTTTAACGAACGCACATCTCAACAAATACACAAAACAAAATCAAATCAACAACAATAACAATAAAAACAAGAGCAATAATTTAAATTTATTGATCTAAGTGTTCCATTCAATTTCGCTGCCAACGACGACGAATGCTTACGCAAAGCTCCAATGTTGTTGCCGAACTGGCCAAGCAAAAATTTTCAAACTATTAGCGAATTTTTAAAAACAGCTCAGCGACGACGACGCGTCGCGTCGCGTCGCTGCTAGCGTCGCGGGCCCAGTCGGCCATAATTTGGGCGTTTGTCTGTTATATTTGTGCCGCCGAAACTCAAATATAATGAATACGACAAAATAATTTGCAACATGCACGCCCCACGCCCCGCACTCGCCGCGCGCTTTGACAGTTCCGCGCAGCGCGGCAAGCGCACGCGCTGATCAGCCGCATAACGGAATTTTCATACCAATACACAGACATGTATGTGCGTGCATACATATGTATGTACATAAGTATTTACATGCGTTGTTTGTTTTTGTATATTTACTATCATTTCCATGGCACACGCTCTTTTGACTGTAAACATGCATACATACATACATATATATATATATATATGTGTATATCTTACTTAAGTTTTTTGCCGGGACCAGACATTTTCATTTCGCTTTCGAGCTCATTGACTAGCGAAAGTGTTGCATGTGCACACATACATACATTCATACATACGTACATATTTTTTGCTCTTTTGCAATTGTTTTACTCTAATTAACAAGTCGCATGGCACAGCTAAGTATCTCTAAGTGCTGGTGCCTTCGTTATTTTGTTGGTATGGTCAAGATCTGACATTCGCCGTCCATTTCCAGTGCTCCTCGCTTTGGTTATTTTTAGAGTCACGGACATTGTAAGAAGTCAATGTCGCACGGTTCACAAATGTTTTCATAACTTATTTATAAATAAATACACAAATTGGTAAAGCGCGAATTGTGACAGTTTTGATGCAATTATATTGATGCACACATTCCATTTTTTTTTTCGCAATTTCTGCTAATCCATATCAAAATTTACCTTAATTTAAATTAAGTATTCAAAAACTCTTAAATGCTAAATTCAAACTATATGTTTGTCGTTATGAAGTGTGTTCGGAAAATCAATATACGTCTGGCCAACTTATTGGTCCACCACCACAATTTATCGACAGTAAAATCAACAGTGCTGTAAAACGCTGACAAAAATTAATATTTAATAAACAGGCGCGAACTATTTCCATTCCTATCCGCTTTTTAACATATAGTCCTTGTCGGCCTTGTATAACACAAATTATTCAACATTCTGCGAACATCAACAAGAATTTTTATAATAAATTTATAGTTTTTAGCGCGGCTTGAAACGATAATCTCTCTATAAATGCCATGACAAAAAAATGACAATTATATTCTTATTAGATTAAACAGAGTTGGAAAATTCGCCTGTGTCGGCAAAGCAGGTTGTGTAAAGTGCTATTGTTATACAGCAAGGTTGTGCTAGGTGTTTGTGCCTTGGGCAAAAAACGCAACCCTGGCATCTATACTCTCCCGGCTTAAATGTCAACGCGTGCAAGGGTTTATTATGTAGCAAAATAATGATTAAGATTAACAGACATCAAACGGAATAAGAATCAGTATCATTTACTTAAACCAACAGCACAGGGTAAGTCAAAATTCTGAGGTGATACACGTATGCATAGATATTTTGCGTTTTGTCGTGCTTCATAGCATGAACAGCTGCTCCGTGCACCAGAGTTGCCATCCTGCGATACGGAAAATAAAGTGCTTGAGTAAGCTGCAGGGCAACTCTGGTAGTGATGGTGCTCTTCTTTGTGTTATTATTGTAGACAAAGCCATAATAAAATTGAGATTTGCCAAATAAATACATATTGGTACACGGAACGTGGAGTGAAAATCGGATTTGCGTCCCAGTAAATAGCGTGTAAAACGTCGTAAATTGTATTTGGCTAAAAACCTAATGCGCGCTGTTGATTGGCGTCGCTCCAAATTAACCAAATTTATTGCTGAGCCACAGACGGAGTTCGACATAATGGACGACGAGGCATGCTTGACCGTTGAGAAAGAGCTCGACCGCGTTGTAAGCAAGTTGGAGCAACTGCACGAGATCGCTTCGGTCGAAATTGGAGATGTTGCGTCGCTTATGTCGGAACTGGTCAATGTTCTGGGCAATGCGGAGCAGATGCTGGTTACCACACTGAATGCTGGTACGCAAATGAATGCGCCAGGCACGAGCAGCACAGACGATCCCATGGGCGATGGCGTGAACATGCAGGTGGAGACAGAGCCAGCAGCTCCACAACGTCTGACCGATAGCCAAATGGAAATAATCAGAGAAGCGATCTTGAAGTGCAATGATCGCGTACAGAAGCTGTCGACGGAACATCGTGACTCGCATGGTTCCGTTTCGAAGATTGGGAAGGCCATCGATCGCAACTTTAGCTCGGACTTTAGCTCGACAATGCGCGTGGACGCGCTGCAGGACGAGGATAACCTAATGCTGCTAAACAAGGCCATTGCCAAACATTACTGCCGTCAGGGCATGGACGAGGTTGCCCGCACGCTAATCAAGGAATGTAAAATGAGTGAGAACGATGCCCAAGATGTGTTCGATTCGGAGCGCGAGTTCGCCGAAATCTACAGCATCTGGATACAGATACAGAAGCGTGAGCTGTCCGAAGCCCTCAAGTGGGCCATACGCCACTCGAGCCAGCTGATGGAGCGGCATTCGCTCATTGAGTTTCGGCTGCATCGCATGCGATTCATGCAGCTGGTTTCGTATGGCCTGGAGTCCCAGCACGAAGCCATCGTGTACGCCAGGACCAACTTTCAAAAGTTTGCCGTGCGTTACGAGCATGAGATTGCCAACTTGATGGCCAGCTTTATATATTTGCCCGGTGGCCTTGAGAAAACGCCGTACAAGATCTTTCTAGCCCAGGAAATGTGGACCGAGCTATCGTTCACATTCCTCAAGGACGCCTGCCAGCTGTTGGGCATCAGCAAAAACTCGGCACTCTCGGTGGTCGTAAACGCTGGCTGCACCGCGCTGCCTGCGCTGCTAAACATCAAGCAGGTAATGCAGTCGCGCCAGGTGCTGGGCATGTGGAATGGCTGCGACGAGCTGCCCATTGAGATCGACTTGCAGCCAGAGTTTCGGTTTCATTCTATTTTCGCCTGCCCGATTCTCAGGCAGCAAACCACTGAGGACAATCCACCGAAGAAGCTGACATGCGGCCATGTCATCTCCAATGACGCCCTGCACAAGCTGAGCAATGGCCACATCCTGAAGTGTCCCTACTGTCCCGTCGAACAGAATGCCGAGGAGGCCGTTCGTATTTACTTTTAAATGTAGACCCTAATAACAATTAATCATAATATCGCATATACTATGTAATAAAATGTGAGCCTGCCTGTTGGCGCGCTTAAAGCAGTTCGAGCGTGGATCTGGAGCAGAAAGATGACAAATTTCTTGAATTTCGGCAACTTTTCCTTAAATGTTATTGAGCGCGCCACTAGATTGTTCTTTAGCTAAATTTGCTAGGCCGAAGCGAACTACTTGAGAGCCGCAAGTCCATTAAAACAAAAAAAATCCCACTAGTTCTTAATTACATGCATAATAAATAAACATTTATCTCAAATACTTGTCTTTGAATATTTTCCATTTGCACATCGCTTGATTTCTACTCCAATGTCTGTCACTAGGCGCAGCCAAGAAAACAATTATATTGCGTCGCAAATTTCAGCCAAATCAAAAAAAGAAAAGTATCTTTCGGGTGGGTTTTTGTTGTTTGATTTTAACCACTGTGCGCTCAGACAACAATGCGCGAGCACTGCCCACTGTGCAGTCGGCCCGGCCGTTTCTGTCGAACCGGTTTCGGGTATTGTCGTGCCAGAGTCTCGAATTTTCATCGTGTCTGGCGTTTTGCGTGCAGTCAATTTTAGAGTTCGGTCGCGGACAGCTGATCTGAGTAAACGGTTAAGATTGACATATTAAAGTGGTCTGGATCTCTGTCTCTTTGCTGTTTAGTGGCAACGAACCCGAATACGGCTCGCGGAACCATCATTTAGGCTAATTCTGAGTTTTCGATTCGTCAAATATTGCGGCTAATAAAATGAAAAACGTTTTGGATGTCATGTCATTGCAGCAGCACGTGGAGACAAGCAAAGCACAAAACATGAAGCCCATTGATTATCGGTGAGTCAGTTGCGCATTTTGCGCTCCAATTTCTGACATACAACTCCATACTCCATACGCGTCTAAATATTCCAGCAAGTCCACTAAACCAGGTCTGGTTCCGCTTTACATCTTCGAGTGCGCTGCCAAGCTAAAGATGAAGCCGCTGACAGCCGCATGCGCCGCCATTGTCTACCATCGCTTCTTCAAGGAGGTCAAGCCCAGCGACTACGATGAGTTCGTGAGTATCAGGTTGCCCCGCCATGGCGCATATGTACTCAAAATGTTTGTTTACAGCTGATAGCCGCCTCCTCGCTTTACTTGGCTGGGAAAATCAAAGACGACGACACGGTTAAAATCCGCGACGTCATCAACGTGGCATACAGCACACTGAACCGCGGCAGTGCTCCATTGGATCTGAACGATGAGTACTGGGCCATGCGCGACGCTATTGTCCAGGCTGAGCTGTTGATAACGCGTACCTTGAGCTTTGACCTAAACATTGAACTTGCGCACAAGGTAACACTAGCAACTCTTTGGCGCGCCAGTTAATCCATGCACTTTCTCTTTTTTCGCATGCGCAGTATTTGCTTTACTACATGAAGACACTGCAGGATTGGGTGGGATCGGATGTGTGGAACTCTGTACCGATTGCCAAGACGGCCGCCTCGTACCTGCAGGACTTTCACCACAGTCCAAATATACTGAAGTACAAGCCCACGCACGTTGCCATTGGATGCCTGTCTCTGGCACTGCAAACGTATGGCGTGCAGGTGCCTCTGACCGACGAATCAGACGAGGCTTCGATGTGGTACAAGCCATTGGTCAAAGACTTTACCAGGGAGAATCAGTGGGAAATCATCGAGGATGTCATTGAAGTCTACAAGCACGAGGCGTCTCTTAAGGCCACCTGAACCAACCACGACCGCAACGCATCATTGTTATCAACAATTGGCCATTTTTGACCTACTCGCCATTCCTGCATGATTTTATTTATTCTCAGTCCAAACCAAAAATCATTTGTTCGAGACCTTTGGCTGCTGCTCACTGAATTTCTGAATATATAAACGTATTACAAGAAACTTCTGAACACATTAATGGCGATGTTTGTGCTTGTGCTTTTCCGACCGATGGCGTCCTGGGGACACGCTGCTGCGTCGATTCGAACGTGAGCTGTAGGATGACGTCGTTGGCGATGGGGATTTTCGAGAAGTGCGACCTGAGCGCTCCGAGTGGCGCTTGGGCGAGTCCGACTGACTTCGTGACCGATTGCGCTTGGTAGACTTGCCACTGCGGCTGCTCTCGCCTCCGCTAAACGGCGAATGGGATCGCTTGCGACTGGTGCGTAAGCTGGGGCTGGAGCGGGAGCTGCTGCTGTAGTGAGCACTAAGGGCATGCCTGGTGTCAGGACTCTCGCTGCGCTGTGAACTTCTCGATTTCGAGTGCATGTAGCTCAACGGTGAGTCTACAGAATCCGAAGGGGAATGCTGTGGGTAAGCAAGGTTCGAGTGTTACTAACTGAAGTTCTAGTAAGTCAGAATGCTTGCACAATGACTTACCCGCTTGAGTAAACGTTTACGATAGTATGCCACTTGCTCGGAAAGTGTCCAGCCCGGTTCCAGGCGTCTCTTTCCAGACTCCAGTTCATCTTGATACTGCACGACTTTCACTTCAATTTCGCGCAGTTTTTGGCGACTCTCGTCGCTGAATTTTTGGGAGCTGTCGCCATCGCTATCATCATCCGAACTATAGAACTTTGGTGGATCTGGGGGATCCAACGTGTCCCATTTGCTTGTGGTTATGGCCTGGGCCTCAACTTGTTGCGGGTCAACCGTTTCCCATTTAGATGGAATAAAACCGGGCATTTTGGCCTGCGACTTGGAATCTGTTGATCTTTGCGCTTGCACCATCGGCACACCATCCAAATCCTCATCCACTGAAAGTATTATTTACATATACAATAAACAATAGCATATTCCTTTATACAAAGGCTTACAGGGCACGCCATCGATTTCGTCAAAATATTGTTCCCGCTTGGGTGTATCTCGTTGTTGCATGGCCACCGTTGACTCTGGTAGGACAAGTTTCAGAGCGCTCTTTAGCAGTGCAGCACCATCGAGTGGCACACCATCCAAATCTTCATCATCTTTTTCCTCCCCAGAAAGTGGCGCACCGTCTATGTCCTCATCTAGAGCTTCCTCTGAGCGCGATTCATCTGCTTGCACCGGTGAGTTAGACTGCACTGCAAACTAATTCCCCGCTGTGAATATTATCTTGTCAGCATATACAACGCTATATATACCTGTCGACCCAAAAATATAGCGTGCAATTGCGATAAGAAATCCTTTGGGTAAATTGTCCACTCCTCCCATGTGCGTATCACGTTACACACTCTAGTCTTGAAGCCCTCAGCTTTCAAACGACTCTCAATAGCCAAATAATAAGTGTGAAGGCTCTCGAATATGTCCACCAATTGCTTTTCCACGCTGTAAGCAAGCCAATCAGTAAAGGCTACAGATCAACTCGCATAAACTTACGATTTACGAAAGAAAGATGCGTTCGACACCTTCACAGTGCAGTTATGCAATATATCGGAGACAAGATATAGGCGCGCAATCTTCTTTGAAGCCAGCGTCTTTGGATTTGCCAACGATTCGGCGATGCACTCGCAAATCTCATCGGCGGCATCAGCATGCTCAATGCAAAATATCATTGCGTCTCCGATGCGTGCGCGCTCTGGTGTCAAAGCCCGTATCAGGTCTTCCAGTCGATCACGTTGCCTGCCATTCAAGATACGATTTATAAATAAACAAGTTTGTGGATATAAACAAAATGATTTACGCATTCGATAAGGCGCCTTTATGCACCACAGGTGCATCTGGGTCGACGACCAATTCATCCGGCATGCCTTGAGTGTAGAAATTAGCCACAGGAGGTTTCCAGACAGGCCCCTCCTTAAACATACGAAACTGTTGCTCCCGCCACTCGCTCGGTGTGTCGCCCTGCAACAGCGAGAAGAGCTTCCAGCGGTAATATATGTGCGCTGGACTTTCGTTGTCGAAGAGAAACGAAAAAATAGGATTTTCTATTTCGCGACTCATGATCAGCGCTTCGAACATAGGGCCCTCTCGTATTACGAACTCGATCATGCGATGTATGATATTCAGAACAGATCTAAAATGCAGACATACATATATGAACCGATCTATTTAAATGCATTCCAAGAAACCATACTTCTCCGTCGGTATAAAGACTTTAACAATAGATTTGCTCAGAACCTACAAATTAATAAAACACTTTTATTAGCTTAATGCTCTTGTAGATAAGATGGTTGACTCACTCTTTCCATATTCTCCTTGTCCTCAATAGAATCGTAATCCTTGTAGTTCTTCTTAGGCAATGTATTCGCCTCGCTTGGCGGCGGCTGGGCATTAAAAGGCAGACCCGAGGGAGGTGGCGGCAATGTCAGTTCTAACAGGGCTTGCGGTGCGAAAATTGGTGTATTCATGATGGGTACCGTCTTACCCCAGCCCAAACGCATTTCATAGCCCATTATATAGCGTCCGTTTAGAGTGCGTAGCGCCCGCTCGGCGTCCTTGCGGCTCATGTATGCTACAAAGCCACAATTTCGGCCACGTTGCTTTTCTTCCTCAGAACGTGGCCACATGATCTTGATGCTGGCTAGCGGACCATAGCGACCAAAGATTTCCATTAACTGCTGCTCGGAAATCTTGGGATTTAAATTGCCCAAATACAGGTTCGTTGTGTTCGGATCGCCAGTGTCAAATGAACCCCCAGCATCTCGAGCGTTGCTCGCCTGCTGTGAAGTGCTCGGAGCTTGTGGCTCTGGCTTTTGCTGCTGTGAAACTGGAGCACTCGCTACTGCCATATGCTTGTACTTGTGTCGCTCTTCACGTTCTTCTTGTATTCTATAAATATGTTAAGGACACGTCACACAGTTTGTAGTTTAATGAAATTGTCACTGTCTTACTGTCTCAACTCCTCCTTGAACAGCTCCAAGTTGCTCTTCTTTTTCTCCTGATTCTTCTTTTTCAGCGGTGTTGGATCTTTCTTAAGATCAGAGGCCAACAGCTTAGCATAGTCCTCCGCCTTCTCGGAGGCACTCTTGTCAAGCTTGGAGCCCGGCTTGTACAGCTTGCCTTTTTCGCTTTTATCCTCCCGTCTGGAGCCCGCATCGTATGTGCCAGCCTTCACCCACACTTTCGAAGAGGCTGTGGGCGTTTCTTGAAACGTCTCAACAAACTCTTTAAAAGCCTGAAAATTATAAGTCAATAGTTACTGCAACTCGAATCAAAGCATTATTAAACTTACATGTGCCGCAGCGGCCTCATCTTCCTTCTTCTTCTGCTCCTCTAATTCTTTTTTGGACTAACAGAATTGTTATTGTTTATTGTAAGGCATAATATTTATGTTCTAAGAACTCACCAATTGCCGCTTGGAAAATGTGCCGACCGTAAAGGCCTCCAGCTTTTTTTCGCTAATGCGCTAAATAGAGAAACGTGTAATACCCGTTCGCAATTTGTTTATGTATCTGTTTTACCTTCATGCTGTTATGCTTTGTGTTTTTTAATTTTTAACATTTATGTTCTTATTTTTAGAAATACAATTTTCTTCTCGGCAAAATTATATCGATAAGGCCTGCAAACATCTATCGATAACTCTGATATTGTTTGCATTTCATACATGCGCATCATGCATAAGACGGCAGCCAGAATGTTGCATGAAACGACTTATTATGTTTTTAAAATTCTTCAATACAGAGTATCCACAACCTTATGGGCTTCCAAATCTAAATATTAAGGAACTCAAAAATTAGTATACCTGAGCTTATTTGATAATAAAATATAATAGTTAATGCGCTGTATATATAATTAAGGTTTTCTGCATATTAGCAATTATTTTAATTAATTATAGCAACACACGAATAACTGAGAGTATCGATATCGCGTTATCACACATTTGATGACAATATCGTAAATTCTGATGTGAAATATCGATATATCGATATGAAGTCAACATCCCTAATTACAATTAAGTTAATAATTTTTGTACAACAAAATAGACTGTGTGTCGCCAACTGCCAGTCCACGCAGACAGATCTCAATCGCTGGGCAAGGCGTTAAGAGCCTTTAAATAAGCTGCTGAAATGGAACCACAAATTTGTCGGCTATGCTTGCGTGGTTGTGGCTCCCAGATGTGTCTTCAAATCTTTAGCAGCGATGCAGGTGCAGAAGGTAACGTGCCAAATGTTGCGGAAGTTCTGCGCCAGCATTTTTGGTTTGAGGTGAGCCAAGTGATAAACGCACACTTTGACATTTGTTCACATACTCGATCATTCTTCCTGCAGGTATTACCGAACGATGCAATATCGAAAGTTGTGTGCAATGTGTGCTGGACGCAGGTGTCTGAGTTCCATCAGTTCTACGTGTCCATACAAGAGGCTCAGGTGATTTACGCCAATGCGCCGAAATTCAAACAGGATCCTGATCCGGATATGATGAGCTCGTCGTGGCCAGAGGAGGTAATGATGCCGGCCGAAGAGCTCACAGTGGATGGCGGCACAAATAACGATTATACCAGCACACAACTTAGCGTAAATCCCTTAGATGAATTAGACCTGGAAATGTCAACATATGCGAATGTCGGCCCCGAAAGCAAGCTAGACATAAAACTAGAGAGACTCACGCCAGACGAGTTCGTCAACCAATTGGACGATGTTGATATTATCGTAACACGAAGTGGGCGCAAGCGGAAACGTGACACCGAAACGAGTGATAAGTTGAGGACAGTCAAAGTGAAAAAGGTAACACAAGCCAAAGGCCATGATAAGCGGAAAGCCACGACAAAAAGGACATTCAGGAAACAGCAATGGCCCCCATTTTGTAAAGAGGACGAGGACCTAATAAAACGTTATATTGTAATGGGCTGTGAACTGTGCATTTTCCTGGCGGATGATTTCGATGGCATTCGTGATCATTTTAAGGACAAACACCCAAGCGAGCGCCCCTACGTAAAATGTTGCGGTCGCAAGTTAAATAAACGTTGCCTAATTGTCGAGCATGCAAGGCGTCACGAGAATCCTGAATACATTAAGTAAATTTATGCATATATGTCCTCATATGTCCTACTTATATCTGTTGTTTTCAGATGCAACGACTGCGGAAAGGTGTTTGCCAACTCGAGCGTATTACGCGCCCATTGGCTGGTGCACCATGTGCCTGACGAGGAATGTGATTTCCAGTGCGAAGAGTGCGGTAAGCGTTTCTCCCGGCGCAATCTCCTGGAATTGCATAAGGGTTCGCATGTGCCAGCCAGCGAGCGGAAGTTCATCTGTCCAGAGTGTCCCAAACATAATGCGTGCGTAACCGGCTACAAAACTAGAAAAAAACCACTAAATAACAAACACATCTGTTTCCAGCTTTGCCACCGAGTACCACATGCAGGTTCACATAAGTATGCAGCACCGCAAGGCAGCCAACGTGTGCCATGTGTGCGGCAAAGAAATCAAGGATAAGGCTGTCTTCGAGAAGCACGTCCGGCTGCATTTTGAAGAGAGCGGGCCGCGCATCAAATGCCCTCGACCGGACTGCGAGAGCTGGCTAAAAGATGAGGATAATTTGAAACAGCATTTAAGACGCCATAACGACGAGGGCAAATCGTTCATTTGCTCAGAATGTGGCAAGAGCTGCAAGAATTCGCGCGCCCTCATTGGACACAAGCGTTATTCACACTCGAATACAATTTACACATGCGAACAGTGCGGCAAAACTTTCAAAAAGGATATTAGCCTTAAGGTTTCCCATTTCAATTACCTGTCTATTTATACATATATTAATTAATATCTGAATTTCAGGAGCACATGGCTCAGCATACTGGCGAACCACTTTATAAATGCCCCTTTTGTCCGCGGACCTTTAACTCAAACGCTAATATGCACTCCCACAAAAAGCGTATGCATCCAAATGAGTGGGATCACTGGCGTAAAACAAAAACGGGTAGCTCCCAAAAGGTGCTACCCAGTGCCCAGGTGTCGCAAATGTTCAGAGAAGATTCTGAAACGTTCGCGATTCCGAATATTTCAAATGTATTTTAATGCACCTAGTTACCTTCCCCTACCTAATGTATATATATATTTTCCCTAAGTGTAGAAATATATGTACGTATGTAAAAATGTTTACAAACCCAATGAATATAATTGAGATACGAGATGCCTTGTGGAACTAAATGGAATACAAATTCGATAGAAGGGGAAGCCCAGAGAATTAAAGTATTGAAATATTTTACATAATTCTCTCTAGAAATTATCGACATTCTACATCAAATACATTGTACTATGGTTATTATGGGCCGTATTCTCTTTAGTTTAATAAAAGAATTTATTTTTGTTTTTATTTAAAATTCAAAAATATCGATTTGATTTCTGCACATATCGATAGATTCACTTGTGACGTAGGCGCTGCGCAAAAAAGGTTTCGAACTATCGTGCACAACCTCATAGCGCTTGTAACTCTTAAAACAAACAGCTACGTCAACAACGTTAAAATGAATGTAAGTTTTATAAATTATATTGCAAAATTGCCAAAATAATATATTGAGCGCTTCAATTCTATCACTTTTACATGTTTCCGTTGACTCACCTGTTTATGTAAAAAATCAGGAATCGGAGATACCAATTGACATCCACACGCTAAAGCTTCAGGATTGGCTTATAAGCAGACGTATTGTTCCAAAGAATGTGCAGGCTCCGATCAAGGATATCCATTCCAAAATCAGCAACGCTCTACATGATATGCCCGCCAATGATCAATTGATTAAATTGTTATCTGGTTCCAGTAGGTTTCCATTTTGGTAAACACGTTCGCAACTAATGTTCGTAACTTTATTGCAGATATAAACTATCTGCATGTCAAGGAGATAATTGAAATACTTAAGCAGACGGAAAAGGATACCAAAAGCGTCTTTGGCACCTATGGCAGTCAGCGTATGAAAGACTGGCAGGAAGTCTGCCGCCTGTACGAGAAGAACGCCACATACCTGGCGGAGACGGCGCAAATATTCGTGCGCAATGTGAACTATGAAATTCCCGGAGTGCGGAAGCAAATGATCAAGCTGGAACAGCAAACCGATGAGTGCTTAAAGCGAGCCCACGATCTGCACAAACCAGAGGCACAACTTCTGTCCGAGCACGCCGCCTTGTTGGAGCAGCTGGGCGTTAAAGGTGATAACCTACATGCTGAATTCATAGAAGTGCTTGCAGGTCTGCCAGAGCTATACGCAAAGTCCTTGCGAAACATTGGAAGAGTGCAAGCTGGTATTGATTTGTACGCTGAATTTAGCGGTCAGCAGCAATGCTTGCCTATTCTGCGCCATTTAGTGGAGCACGGAAACACTACAGTTTATCAGTACATCCACAAAGAGGCGCCTCTTGCTATTGAGGAGCCGGAGGTACGGCTTAATTTTAGCGGCTCCAGCACGAGTAAGGAAAACGATGGCAATGAAATTGACTTTGGCACGGATGACAACGGCGGCACATCCTCGACAGTCTCCGCGGAGATTATTGATTACGGCGACTTCCAGGAAACGGATGGCGGCAACATAGATTGGGGCATTGAAAGCGCGCCCACAGATGCGGTTGAGATTAATTTTGATATACCCGTCGAGGAGTACGGCATTGTAGTCGAGGGCACTGGCATGGACGGTGGAACTGCCAAAGGTCTGCTTTCAGAATAATGTCTTGTTCACTTTTTTTTAAATATGGATTACATGTTTCAGGTGATCAGGCCTATACGCTACTAGATTCGCCCAATTATCGCGAGCGTTTTCTGGACGAATTACACGAGTTGGAGGCATTTTTGCAAATGCGTCTCTATGAGCTCAATCATTTGGAGTCGTCCAATAATATCATGTTCTCACTGATGGACAACATTTCTACGCATGACAGCGAGAGTATTGGCAAAATATTGGCCGACGTTGGGAAGATCATTCAGCAGGCCTCCGATGAGCAGACGAGTCATCTTTTCCAACTTAAACATTCGCCAAAGTACGCCGACCTGCTGACCAGCAAGCTGCAGCAGATGACAAAGGCTGTGGACAAGCTGCGCACAACACGGGAGGTGTTGAAAAAGCGTGCCGTGGAATTACGGGAGGAGCGTCAAAAATTGAATCCCGTTTTGGATGAGCTGATTGAACAAACCCGGACCCTGCAAGCATTTATTGAAAAGGATATTTCAAAACGTTACAAGAATCGCGTTGTAAATCTTATCGGAGGCGTAAACTAGATAAATATATATGTAAATTGTTATTCAAATAGATACGTTTGGGAATGTATGAAAAGTGCAAATAAATTGTTGAAATTTCAATACGGACTCTCTATAACACTAGCAAGTGTTGAATTATTTAAAGATCCTGTTTCCTTTCATTTTTCCCCATGAAGTTTGATTAGTTTGAATTTTGTACAAATTTCCATACGACTTACAAAGAACTTACAAAATGGTATTGCTAGTCTTAGATTTTGTGATCAATTAACATTGTTCAAAAGGTTTTTTAAAAGAATTTTATTTATTTTTATTTTGCTATTTTTATTAAATATACAAATTTTATTTATATTTTTTGTGTGTGTTTTAATTGTTTTTATTAATTTTTTGTTGTTGTTGTTGTTTGTTTGTTTTGTGTTTTTTGTTTGTTTCTTATTTTTGTATCCAGAATACAAATCTAATTTAATGTAGTTGTTGGTTGCTTTTTTGTTCATAAAAGTAGCCTTACACTTGTATCGTTTTAAACTTTCACTTATGTAATGTTTCTTAGCTGAATTGAATACACAATTTGTAAACAAGAACAACGCTATAATTAATATGATTAACTTAGGGGGGGGAGTCTGAAAAAATATTAAGGAAATACATACATACCAATAAACATGTTTTAGTTGCGTTTGGAAGCGAAGGAAGTAAGGAGATTTGGATGTGTGCTTACAATTTATACAAATAGTATTTTTTGGCAATAGTTTGCGCCCAAAAGATTTAAACAAATACATTTTCGTATGCAACTATTGACGGGGAGATAGAGGGGCATACAGCATATAGTCGTATGCACTTTTAATTAATTATATAATTACACAAGTTTTGGGTGTAAAAAGCCACAAAATGGATATACATTTAGACTTAGGCACTAATCTAACAAAAAATGTGGGCTCAATCGGCATTTTAGGTCATGTTAATCAAATTGTTTGCAATTGTTTCTGCATGCAATAAATGTATGTATGTATATAATCATTGATTGTTCAACTAAATAGAAAATAACAAGCACTATCGAAATTAAAATTATTATTTATATATAATATATAATTATTTGACGGCAAAGGGCCTCGTGATATGGTAAGAACAACTCTCACGTTGTCCGGTTCGCGATCTTGCCTCCTATGGTGTGATGCCAGGCCCCAAGCGTTAATTCAATCAAATAAATCTACAATCTGTTTTATCGTTTTTTTTTTTTTTTGTTTTTTTTTTTTAAGGGTCTGTCTGTTGCGACTCATATGGGATACGTATGCTTTGATTATGCATATATCAACGTACGTATTTGTGTTAAGCATAAAATATGTTGCAAAATTTGTTCGAAAGTTTGTTGTTGTTGCTGTGGTCTGCCATTATTGTTGATACATGCTTACAGGCTACATCATGTTACAACATTTACGTAATTATGTTTAGTGTTTAATCATCTTTGTTTGTTGTTGTTTTGCTTACTCGCTACTATGTATAGATGTCTGTAGTCATGTTCATGTTCATCATTTTGACATTGCATTTGATTTGTTGTCTGTCTGTCTGTCTGTATTATTATTATTATTATTATAATTCAGTTTATTGTATACAATACACGTGCCTCATAGGGTCGGTCGGATTAGATATACTGAGCATCGCAGCTCCAATCTTCAAATTATTGCTCTATATTCCATAACATGCCAGTGTTAATGTTTGTTATTGTTAACCTTATCTAGTTAGAATCATCTTTGTTATCTACACAAGTGCTACGAATCGCTTCCGATCCGGATCTTGCACACTTTAACGTACAGACTTAAACAAATGTTTATGGTTAATGTTTTTCAATGAAAAACATCGCCTCTCTTGGCGCCTAAAGTTGCTGCTGGTGCTGGCCACCAGCGCGTTAGATTATGATTATGATTATGATTATGCGCGTAGTGGTGGTGCTGGTGGTGCCCTGGAACACCACCCAGCGCCGGCTACTTTGGTTGTCAATCGTTCTTCACTGGATAATAGATTAGATCTGGCTGCTGCTGCTGCATATGATGCATATAGTCGTTGATTGGCGGCAGCACTGACTTCGTATCGTCGCCCAGCATCGGATAGCCCACACCTACGCCAACACCCACGGGCGGCGCCGTGCGCTCATAAACGCTGCCGTGCGGCGGCGGCGGTGGCAACAGGTGCGTGGCGCCCGCCAGCGAATGCAGCGGCTGCTGTAGGCCGTGCGCATGCGCGTGGGCATGGTACGGCTGAAAGCTGTTATGCTTCTGCTGTTCGCTGACCAGCTGCTCGCTTAGCGCGCTGTGATTGTAATGTTGCTCATAAACATTGCCAGCGCTCGGATGCCGCATTAGACCACTGCCATAGGCGCCGCCGGCGTTGTGATGTTGCTGTGCCGCCTGCTGCTGTTGCTGCGGCTGTTGTGGTTGTTGCTGCTGCTGCTGTTGCTGCTGTTGGGGCGGCGGCTGTGGCATTAAATCAAAGTTGTACTCCAGAGGCGTGGGATTAGTGTCGATGAGATTCGTGAGAATGCTGCCAATGTTGTTATAGTTGTGAGCATCTCCCGGTCCCACTTGGTTCGCCTGTGGCTGTGCCGTCGTAGGCTGCTGCTGCTGCTGCGGCTGTTGTTGTTGTTGCTGCTGCTGCTGCTGCTGCTGAGGCTGCACCTGTTGTGGCCACATGTGCTGGAAGCCCAATAGTTCGCCAGTCAATGCTGGGTCTTGTGGCTGCTGCTGCTGCTGTTGCTGCTGTGGTGGTGGTTGCTGCTGCTGCTGCTGTTGCTGCTGTGCCTTGTTGACACCGACGGCTGCTTGCTGCTGCTGCTGCTGAGTGGACGGCGCTGGGGCGCCGACGTTCATTGGAAGCCCGAGAAACTCGGTTGAGTCGACAATGTAGAACTTGTTGTCCTTGAGCTCGACTGGCTGATTGTTTGGTGCCCCGCCAAAGCCCATATTGCCCCAGGAGTC